ACAAAAGACTTCTCTGAGTCGTCATGATCAGTGCGCTGCATGAAGCTGGGGGCTGTGCAAAAGAGTTGGAGAGATACTCAGAGCTCACAAATGGCTACAAATAGTTTACATTCCCACCAGACAGAGAACAAAACTGACAGAGGACTTAGAAGGCTCTTTCTCAGTGATGGGACAAAAGTTACTCTGGATTAAATGCTGCTTTTGTTCTACCTAGATATGCTTACAAGCAAGATTCAAAAGGATCAAACTGTTCTCAAGTAAATTATCTGTATCTTAGAAAAAAATCTCAAGAGTATTCGTATGAATACAAAAATATGCAACACACGAAAAGTTAAATTATAGTATCTGACATCCAATCAAAAATTAACAAGCATGCAAAGAAGCAGGGAAATAAGATCTACAATAAATAGAAAGTAAATCAACCAAAACTAACCCAAAAATTACACAGGTGATAGTATTGTTAGAAAAGGATGTTAAAACAGTTAATATAACTGTATTCATATGTTTCAAATGCTGAAGAAAAAATTGTTCATGTTAACTAGAAAAAGGAAAGCTGTAAATAAAAGTTCAAATCAAACTTACATAAATTTTTTATAAAATACAATGACTGAAGTGGAAAATACAGTAAAAGGCAATAACAGAAGATCAGACTGCAGAAGAAAACGTCAATACATTTCAGACCATAGTAATAGACACTATCCAAAATGAAGCAGGGAAAAAAGATACTGAATAAATCCAGCAAACAAGTTGATTTACTGAGGTCTCTCCTAGCTTCACAAATTTATGATATGAAATACAAATTGGACTGTATTGGAAGACAGAATTTTGCCCTCCTCACTTATTTGACTATAACTGACTCTTATTCCTGCCATTTCTATGACCTATGGAAATTCTATTTTCTCTTGCTGTTTCTACTGATTCTCAGGGAATTAGGGCCCTGTGTGTTCACTTCCTGGGCTGTGGCTGACTGTCTCATCATCCACCCAGAAGCTATATATAGCCCTTTACCACTTCCCAGAAGGTCTCTAATAATAATAATATTAATATTATTATATAATAATATTACTGTGAAGATTGTTCAAACAGTGGGTCATATAACAGCAAATATAGTGTATCTCTTTCCTATATTAGCTCCTCTGTTCTTTTTCTCAGTCCTTTCACATTTAGATTGATTCTGGGAACTTCAACATCTTTTCATTCTCTGATGAAAAGAAGTTCAGCCCTCTCTCCATATCTAACCCCCAAAATTAGACAGCTGTACCAGCCAAAGTGCTGAAAATAATAAATTAACTTCCTTAGAAGTGGATCTATCTTTAGGAGGCAGTTTTTGAATTATGAACAGTTTTGTTTGTGTGGGTTTTTTTTTCCTATTATATTTGTGTAGCCTCAGGACAACATTTCTATTCTTTTGATACTTGTGTTATTATTTTTTCATATAGGCACTTTGTAAATATACTATATTGGAGTTAAGTTAGTATTATTTAATTCACTTAAGGTAAATATGGGCTTGTATACTAACTGAAAAACAAATAAGAAAAACATGCTTTATGTACAACAATGTCTCATTAGCTATGCTATGGGTATCTGATGATGGAAATCTGACCATGAAAACAATTCAGAATATCCTCCATCCTGTCACACAGCAGCTCAATTCCATATTGACAAATTTAATAAATTCACATGAATCATGGAGATATGTGAACTTTTGTGGGTATGTGAAAACTTAATTGGTTTGAGGGCCCCATATCATTAGAGAACATCACTTTGCAAGATTAGAAAAGGTGTGATGCCTATGACAACCATTGGTTAGCCAATCTTTCAAAGAAAATTTTTCACACTTCAATGTAAGGAGGGTGGAGTATGTCTTTAGTTATAATAGACACTTATACTCAATAAAGAGAATTACAACCTGACTCACTTGATTTTCAGTTTAATCCAAAGATCATAAAATGTGTTTATAGATACTACCAATATTATAGGGATTCATATGAATACGACTATTGAATACACATACACAGGAAAGATGTATACTCAATGACAGTGTAGAAGTTTCCTGTTGTCTCCAATGGGGACAAGACTTTATCTAATTACTAAATTCACATAACTGATCCATAAGGATTTTCCAGAGCTTCTAGTAGGAAAATTCAGCTACTTGTGTACACTTCTTCCACAAGGAAAGATATGCCTTTCTCCACAAGCTGCAATTTAAAAAGAAAGTATGTGACAGCAATCTAAAAAGCCAGCTTAGTCAATTCTTCCTTGGTTGTGATTGCTATGCCTCATATTCTGGTCAGACTAATTAAATAAGCCACTTCATTCAGGGTGCTCTAAAAGGGTGATGGTCAGGGCCTTTTTCATACATTAAAAAAAATTAGATTCTTAAAGATACTGGTGAGATATTGTGTACGTCACCCATTTTATATATGAGGAAAATGAAGCCTATAAAATTTATACATGATCACATTATAACTTGATAGTGCCAAATTGTGAGTTCTGGCTACATTTGTTCAGACTACAAATGTCATCTCTTCTTACTTCACCATTCAAAAAGATAATTCTTGCACTGAGAGTTGAGAGAAAGAGCATTATTTCATATAAGACCTATTGTTTTTCAATCTCAATACGTATCACCAAAAGGATCTTTCCAGAGATGCTATAATATAAATAGCCTCCTTAAATGAAGCCCCTCAAGGAACTCATAAAAGTCTATTTATCCAAATGATGGGTCAAGATCAAGTTATAGAGTTCAGTAACACCATTAAACTAAAAGCATGTTTCTTTAGGGCAGACTAGTTTAGGAATTTTCACTTCCTTTCCATATATAAATACATCCTGACTCCAAATAATCAACCAACAAATAAAACTTTGGAAAACAACTCAATCATAAATAAATTGTCTTTCTTAGTTAAATAAATGGAAACATATGAACATTTCAAAAGCTTTTAAGTATGAGAAAATACTCCTTGGAAAACAGTAATATGAAAGCTGGTTATAAACATGAACATTATTTTTATATTTTCAATATCATGCTAAAATTTACCTAGGTAAGCATCCAAGGAGAGATGGTCTCTGTTTCATATAGTATCTATCAAAACATGTGTGCTAACACCTTTAGTTTCATGCTAATAAAATATATAGAACAATGACATATATGCTTATTGGGTGTGGATCTTAGCAAAGATTGTTAATGCTTTTCAGGTCACCATTCTTCATTGGGAAAGACAATTGAAAATGACATTCATATCAAATTTCTCAGAGATGAATTAGATTTTGAATTTATGTTATATCTCCAAAGAATGCAAAATAAAATTCAATTCCAAAATAAAGAATTTTCAGCATTTATTACTTCTAAAAAATCTTATTAATATTTGTAAATATTTACATACAGTTTGGTTTTACAGGAAAAGTGACCATAAATAGATTCTCTCCAACTATGCAGATCCATTTTGGGGTTATTGTGGGGTTTTAACAGCAACTTCAAGGAAGTGGCAAAACTAATGAAGGCACAAAAGCACATTATTTTTTTTTTCTTTTGAGTTGGAGTCTTACTCTGTCGTCATGATTTCTAAAGAAACAGCTGACCATGACTGCAAGAGAGGCTGAACAAGGAAGGCCAGATTGACTTTGGAATGACAATTATTTGAAAGATGTGGTATTGATAATATCTGCTTTACAGGTTGTGGGAGGACTGCTTGGTAGGCAAATAACACTCAAATGAGGTGACATACAAATGGTTCTAAAATATGAGCAGGCGGATGGGCTTTAGAGAGAACCAACACCCAGTAGTCATATATAAAGGATAGGTTCAACAGGGAACAACCACACTTCAGCAACCTGCTCTCTGCAATTTAATCAAGGCTTGACCTTCTATCTCCGCCATGTCTTACAGCAATTACTACTCCGGAAGCTACAGCTCTCACTCCATTAGAAATTCCTGCCTTGGTCCTGTAAGTCACCCAATGCTCTCTGCTCCACTGAGATGAACTATGAAGATGCCTCCTGCTCTCCTAGTAGCAACTTGGGCAGCAACACACTCCATGACGACTGCCATGAGCCCTGTGGTGAAAGTGGTGCCTGTAGCCCTTCTGGGCATCCTTCAATTGTTTCTGATGTGTCTGTATCCCATCAAGGAACTAGCTGTGTTCCTTTAACATTCTGTGATTCCAGTTCCTGTCATCCTGTATCCGGGAAACAACCTTTGAGTTCTCATCTTACAAATTACCGGTCTTATGACTGTCAACCCCTGAACTCCCTGACCTATGGCCATCGACCTCTGAGCTACCTGACCTATGGCCATCAACCTCTGAGCTAACTGACTTATGGCCGCCAACAGTTGAGCTACATTCCCTATGATCGTCAAACCCTGAGAAACTTGTCCTATGAACGCCAACCATTTAGCTACATGTCCGACTGCTACAGACCCATAAACTACACATACAGCAATTTTCAACCGTACTCCTCTTCCTTGAGCGACTGGCAGTATTCTTATTAAAGAAAATTATCATGAATAGCTGGAAGCAACCTCATGCTTACTGATTTGAGAGATCATTCATCAGGGGCTCCTCTTATTCTACATGGGTTATGTTATCTCTTTTAAATTATACTCTAAATCTCCATAATAACTTTGCTTTAGGAGTTCTTATCACTTTTATATCTCTATTTTTAAAAAGCTTGATGTTTTTCATCCTGTGTAAAATTCTTTTCCTCTATTTTATTTCTAAATAAATTACAGCTTGGCATATAAATCAGGTTTTCTCATGTGTTATCATTTATGTGTACCTTATTTTATATCTAGTTATTCCCTTGAGATATGTCAACCACTTTATTCAACATTTATGATTTTTAGGCTCTGAATTAATTATGGAGAATACTGAAGGTTTCCAGAGGAAATAATTTATTAACAGGTACCCAGGAAAAAATAGTAAAGTACATGAAGCAGTATGACTTAGTGGCTGCCAAAGTATCCATGTGTTATATGGCTGCATTTAGAATTTGGCATTATGATCCTTCAGGTAATAATAGTATGTTTGACCTAAGCACAATGCCACTAGTTAGAGTTGGCTAAATGTTGTAATAAATAAGCCTGCAAATGTATTTTTGTTCTTCTAACAATACTGGGTAAAGAAAGAGGTCAGCAGAGAAGCCCTCCATTTAGTCATGTAGAGATTAGTTAACAGAGATTTGACTATGGTGTGGCTTAGTTATCAAGATTGTCCCCAAGGTTGTATTCAATTGTAGCTTAGTATAGAACTGAGAATGTAGAATGTAAAACAGTCTCTGTAACTAATTTGACTAATTTGAGACAGAACTGAGTAATAAAAAAAATGTTATCTATTGCCACATTATATCTAAATTCTGATACAACTGTAACAAATGTAACTTTGGTTTACAGAACTCAGACTGATTTGCTTCTTGTGGTTTAGCAACTCTTGGGGTATGTTCAGTTTTGTTTTCAATCTACACCATAACTATAGGACTATAGTCCTCTTTTCAAATTTCAGCTTTTCAGTAGTTCACCAAACTTAAAATTGTCATATCTCATTAATATAACCATTTGTCAAATCAACTGTATGTCCATAACTGGGTACTATGGCTTGATTTTGATCAATGCTGACATAAGTATTTACTATCAGATGGGGAACATGGAGAATAATTACTATGTACCCGGCACTTCTTACACATTACCACATGAATCCTCATTGCCACTCATGATGTTTTTACAAACAAGAAGACAGGTTCAGAATAAACTGAGAGTAAAATAAAATATATATAGACAGATACAGCTACACACAGAGACACACACTCACACTCACACACACACATATACACGCACACACACACGTAAAATTTGTGGGCACATTGAGATTCAAACCCACATCCATCTGTTCTAGAATCTATGCCTTATTTTTCAATCATTTACTTGATTTTCAAATATTTCAAGTCTGCTGTATGCTAGCCCCTGAAGAAAAAAATAAAGAAAAAAATGTATAATTTATTTCACATTTCTGGTGCCAGGCTTTTTATAAATGTTAAACCTAATTTATTTCACAATTTAAGAGGTAGTTAACATTACCTCTGTCTTATGTAAAACAAAAAACAAAAAACAAAAACAGGGTAGGTGAGATTAAAATTTTTGCCTAAGATCTCATTACTAATAAGCGAGAGTCCAAATTTGAATTCAAAACAGCGTTATTTATTTTATTATATGTAACTATATGCTAACATTACTCAATTAACAGAGTGATTTGTGAGCAATTTTTGATATGCTGCTAGTTCCCAAAGAGACAAAAAAAAAAAAATCAAGCCATAACAGCACTGAGGATTAAAATTCAACTTAGTTGAACAGTTTATAACTTATAGGAACAGCAAACATGCTTTGTAAACATAGGAAATGTGCCACTAATTGAATCATCTGTTCATTTTGAAGTGATTACTTTCATTGAAAAATACAAAATATAAGCCCATATAAAAATATGATTAAATAATAAATACAAAAGGCATATTTTCACCTTTTTAGCCTTTGAAGGTTTTTTTTTTTTTTTTTTGGTGTCTTTGTCTTTGGAAGCTGTAATCATTTTCTGCAATGCTCAGATCACTTTGCCCTGTCCATACTTGTAACACCCAAATGAATGACCCTTGTCAATTAATTTTTCAGTCCTATAGATACATGAAGTAAATTACAGAGATGTTTTGAAAAAGAGATGACTTTCTGTTGCTAAATTAAAAACAAATTACTAACTGAATAACTACTATGTGACCTGCATTATTCTATAGGCTGTGATACAACAGTGAGCAAATAGAACTGATTTCTGCTCTCAGGGAACTTGATATCTGGTAAAGCAGATGACCGATAAATGAAAAAATACATAATTTTATATATAATGATAACTCATAGTAGTGATTATTAAGGAAATAAATTGAGTTCATTTATAGAGACATAAAATTTAGATAGAGGGGCTGCAAATGAGATGGAATAGACTATAGAGCTCTCTCTGAGCAGTGAAGTCTTAAGGCCTGATGGGTGGAAAAGGAAAATTAGCTGTGCAAAGAAGAGGAGGAAGCATGGTCCAGAGATTGGAAACTGACTGTACCAGGAGCAGTACCTGGAAAGAGTTTGGCAAATTTGAGGAACTAAATGAAGATCAGTCTAACTAGAGTGTTGAAGGACAAGAGAAGAGGAAAGTGAGATGAAATTAAAGACAAGGCCCAGATTACCAAGGGTCTCGAAATATTAGATTTTCATTTTATTTTATTTTATTTTATTTTTTTTGAGTGAGAGTCTCACTCTGTCTCCCAGACTGGAGTGCAGTGGCCGCTCCCGGCCACCACAGCCTCA